GATCGGCATATAATGTTCACAGTCTCAAAGGCTCTCCTTGGACAAAGACGATATGGGCAATCTTTAGATCTCCTAGCGAAGTCTAGAGATCAATGAAATGGGTCGTTGAATCATCTCCAGTAGCTGTCACTTGGTGAAGCGAAAAAATGACTACTTTGCGGCTCTCTAGCAGCTGTCACCTAACAAAGAAGAGCTAGATGGAGGTGGGGCGTGTGTCAGGGAGCTTCATCCTCAAGTCTGCAAAGCAAGAGAAGGCTCTTTATCGTATTCGATAAACTCTCAAGAGGTGGCGACTTATCTCCCAACAGATCATCCTTTTCCCAACGACGACTTGTTTGTTGATCAATCGGAGATACTTTACTCAATAGATTTGCAATCTTTTTATCACAAATTGTTCAATAATTTTAGTAACAATGCTCCGCAAATCGTGTTGACGAAATTTTTGCCAATGATCTAACAATTCTAACGGCTTAATCCTTCACTGGCAATCTGTAAAAAAGTCATGATAATCAAATAAAAAATATGAGTTTTGGCTATGAGAATATTTGAACCCATGTCAGTTGCCCACTTAAATGAGAGAGATTGAAATAAGTACTCTAATATCCTTATAAAATGACATCTCATATAATATCTTTGTTATAAATAAGGGGTATTGTAGGTATTAAAATCATCAAAGCCTTTTTGGGGAAAGTGTGACGTGAGCTTAGTCTCACATTACTTATGTGTTGAAGTTTCAGGTGAATATATACTAATATTGCATTTACATGTAAGTCTCTTTCTCCCACGTGTACAACCACTCTTTGCCCCACAGTCAGTTGGCCACCAATGATGTGGAAGGAGAGTGGCACACATGTGCCCCTATTGGTCCTTGCTGCTCAAGCCCCTACTCACGGCTCTTACTCCACTATGCTTTTGACCTACTTGTGGGCCCGATTGGCTGGCAAGTGCCCCCCCATTTTGTTAGATTTTTCTTTTTATTTATTTTTCTTTATTTATCTCAAAAATAAGACTATAAAAATCATATAAATTTATGAAAAATCACATAATTACCCAAAAATTCACGTTAATCAACTGAAAATCACTTTTCACACTTTAACACAAACATAAGTCCATTTATCATGAGTTAAGGCTAAAAATATATTATTTACTAATTATTAACTCATAATAATGAAGACTTATCAAGTAACAATATACAACTTTTACCAAAACACCCTCAATTAATTATAGTATTTTCCTACAACTTAGAACTTCTAATAATTACATAAAATTCCTATAGAAGTTATAAGGAAAAGGGAAAAAACTTTATAGGGGGATAAAATTGTGAATATTTGTGGAATTTACAAGCTTTTCAAGCCAAGTTCTCTCTAGGCAACAGCCAAAGACAAGTGAAGCAATGTTGGGCACTTGTGAGTTCAATGTCTCTTTTAATTAAATTTTATTCTTCTTCCTTCTTAATCCATCACTTGGATAACAAGCATCCATTTTTTTTCATTCTAAATTGGATTAAAGCTTTCATTCCAATATTTTTACATCCATTTTTCAGCACTCTATTTTCGATTAATCGAACAATGTTTCCAAATTCGATTTCCATTTTGATTCGATTTTATTTTTGTTTTAGCTTAACTCATCATTTTGGTGACAAGAATACTATGATACTAACTACTTTAATCCGCATTTTTATTGATTTTTAATCATTTCTCTGTTCCATTTTCTACTACAATGACATTATGTTCCTTAGTGATAGACAAACAAGTTTGTTGATTTATTTCATTTCTTTTAGTTCTTCTTCTTGCGATTTTAATATTTTTTGTGAAAATAAATCGTCGTACTATCATTTTTTTATACTTCTTTTGAATTATTTCCTAACATTTATCATCATTTAACTCAAAAAAAAATATTTTCTCTCTCCTCCCTTATTTTTCCCAATTTAAGATGTAATTTCCGTCCTTTAATTTCTATTATTTTTGCGATTTTTTCTGTAATGTAATCATGAATATTTTCAGGTCTTGAGTCACGTATTAGTTCTAAATTTGGGGAAACATCAAAATTCGAAGATTTAGAGCTGAAAAAAGTTTGGAAGATTTAAAGTGCAAAAAGTATTATTTTCCTTTTTTATTTTTTTATTTCAATCAATTATTTAGAACAAAAGAATTTCATATTGATATTGACTATCATCCTTGTGAATGACCTGAATTCACAAAAAATAATTTAAATTCTTACTTTGAATTTGGTTTATAAATATTTAATTTTTAATCATTTTGTTTACAATGACTAAAGTGATATCAAATTTTTGGCATCATTTCCACGGATGTTGTGATCAATACAACATTAATTTATTTTTTCCTTGGCATGGTTAGGAATTAATTTTTATTTTATTTCTCTATTTCTTCAGGTATCAAAAAAAAATTGAGCAATTTCAATGTTGGAGGATCCTAGAAAAAGAACAAGTTGACGATTTAATGAAACAAGTCGTGGAGTTGGAGGAGCTCACTTGTTTTGTATTTTTCTTAAGAAATTGAAATTTTCTCATCTAATCTATATCTATATATTTTTATTAAGTAATTATACTATTTATCTTGTTATCAAATATATTATTTTTAGCTCCTCTCTTTCCTCTATTGACATATTTTGTTACAATGAAAAATAATAAAGAAACAGAAAAATGGTTTTATTTCTTAAACATTTGCATTTTTTAATTGAAAACATTTCTTTGCTATTTGCATTTGTTACTTAGAAGTTTGTTAATTTTTGGTATTTTAGTTTGTTTTGTTGATATAAAGATTAAGAAAAAAATATACTTTTCATCAAATGCATGGTTGGAGATCATAAAGCCCACCAATATTAGAGGTCATCCTGAAACAGATAAACATTTATATCCAATATCGAAAAATTCTAGTGAAGACATGAAAAATCAGGATGTGTTGAACTGACCTTGACAACTGAAGGACTATCACGATCCATCTCCATCAATGGACTTTTTACAAAATCCTGTATCTATACAAGATATTAAATCAAATATCTTTCACATGTATCATCTTTTTATAGTCATTCTAATGAGAAACTATATATGCAGTTGAAAGAGTTTTAAAGAGTCTGCTCTATGATTGATGACATGGATGATGCTTGAAGACTTACATTATTCTCATTTTCTTTGAAAGATAGGGCTAGCTACTGGTGATCCATAGTAAAAAGTGATTTAAGGACATGGTTAGAGATACAATAAGAATTTCTAAGGAAATATTATCCTAGACCATAGAATAATTCAATGAGAAATTCTATCATGGGATTTATCCAAACTAAAGGAGAACCCTTACATGAAACATGGGAAAGATTAAAAGGGCTGTTGAGAAAATGTTCCCCATCATAGAACACTTAAATGGCAATTAGTGTAAATTTTCTATGATGGACATTTAGAGTAATATAGACAGATGGTAGATACTTCATGTAGAGGAATATTTATCAATAAGAGTGAAGATGAGGCATATCAACTACTTGAAGATTTAAGTGAGAATTCATTGAATCATGCTTCATCTTCTTATGATAGGAGTAACGGACTCCCTAGTAAAGGAATATATGAAATAGGAAAATATGAAGATAAAGAGCTGAGGGTTGAGTGAGTGAAATTCATAAAAATGTTGATAATTTTAGTGAGCACTTACCTAAACAAAATAGAATAGTTCAAGAATCATTTTATCCCCCACAACCTAGGCTAGTATGTTCCATTTGCACTAGTCAAACCCATATGGAAAATGAGTGTCCTACATTAGTACAATATTCACCATCTATGCAAGAACAAGTTCAAGCTGCTCAAGGTTATTTTAAGCCAAACTATAGCCCATACTATAATCCTATAACCCTGGATGGAAAAATTATCATAATTTCTCATAGAAAAATCAGCATTTACATCTATTGATCAATCACCATCTCAAGCCTCTAACTTTCCTAATCAAATTAACACCCCAAAATTTTCAAAATCAGAGACAACATAATCAAATTCCATATTAGCTTGTATCTCAACAACATAACTTTGCTAAGCAACAACTAGCTCAAATTAAAGTAGGAGGATCATTAGCTCATCAACTAATTCAGAAAATTTTAGGTCAACCTAATTTTAATGAAATTTTTAGTTTAATGTGGCAAATAATGATGCAATAATGACAACAAACTATGGATGTCCTTAGTGGAGATCGAACAACTATGTTGAGAGAGTTGAGCTTGTGAAAAATAAAGAATCATCAAATACTAGATGTAACCTAGAAAAAGGTGAACTGATATAAAATCTCTTTATCCGTCATCATTAGGAGTGAGAGATAGAGAAATTAGAATAACTCCATGACATAGACAAGAATCTTAGGTTAAGTTACATATATAGTTCATAAACTGATTTAGAACATGTGTTGACACTTGGAAAACTAATTCACTCATCCCTTAGTAATTTACTTAGCCACATTAAACCCAACAATTGATATCAAAGTCCACCTTGATGAGAAGATATTAACACATCTTAATAAGTAGATCCTATGGTTAGTGAAACAATTGAATCCTCAAACCCAAGACCACCTATGTTTGATGGGACAAATTATACATTCTAAAAAACTAGAGTTATAATTTATGCTATATCTCAAGGGTCAAAGGTTTGAAAAATGATCAGAGATGGTCTACAAAAGGCCTCAGATGATGCTACTGAAGAACATATATCAACATTGAATGCTAGATATATGAATATATTTCTTAATACTAACAATGTGTCTAGTTGTGAAACAGCAAAAGAAATATAGGATAAGTTAGAGCTAACATATGAAGGTACGTCCTAGATAAAGGAAATTAGAATCTACATCCTAGTAGAAAGGTATGAATCATTTTATATTAAAGAGGGAGAATCTATCATTGACTTTGTCAAGAGGTATGACAATATCATTAATGGCATGCATAATCTAGGAAAAAAGAATCTCAATAAGGGTGTAAACTAAAAATTGTTTCTTGCTTTAATTAATGATTAGATGGTCAAGAAAACTGTGATAGTAGAATCAAATACTCTTAATGTGATCTCTTTAGATGAAATTATTGGATCACTATTAACCTATGAAGCAAATGTCATTGAAAGAAGAGCAATTGTACGAAAGAAAAACATAGAAATAACTCTTAGAATAGCAGAAGTACATGATGATGCAGAAGAGATCGTTTTCCTATCCAGATGATTATCTAAATTATGGAAGGGAAAAAGTAATTTCTATGCAATAAAGGTAGAACTCAACTTCTTGAAACTTCTGACACCATGTGCTTTGAGTGTAAAAAATCAAAACATGTCAAACCTGACTGCCCGCTACACAAGAAAAAGAATTCAAATAAAAAACAAAGACCGATGGTAGCACCTTGGAGTGACAGCATTTGCAGCACAAATGATGAACATGAAATAAAGAAAGACCTATGCTTAATAGCAAGGATCTCAAGACTATACAATCTTGATGACTCTCTTACATGCAGTCAATTGCAAGATAATTTAGAAAAACTAAGAGATGATTTTGAAGATATCAGATTTAAACCAAAGACTTTGTAAAAGAACCTTAGACTTAGAGAATCGAAAAACTTAATAAATAAAAAAATCAGAACGGTGTCAAACTAGAGAGAGAACTTGGGGACACATTGTCACATCCCAAGATACCCATTGTCACAAAAGAAAAGAAATCAATTATTATAATAGTAGAAACGGTAGAAGAAAATCAAAAAATTAGGAGCCAAAGATCTACAAAAATCTCATCTTATCAAGCCACAACATGTGACATATATGAAAGGGTGATCATTGAATTAAGTATAGAAAATATTCAATAAAAGACACATTAGAATCTTAGTATAGAGATCAAGCAATCCACTATAGGACATGAAATAGGAAAACAAGTTTTCTAATCTAATAACATATTACAAAAAATTATATGAAAGTCAAATGGAACTAGACATAGTACTAGGGAGTGAGATTCATCATTTAGAAAGGAAGGATTAGCCTACAATATAAATCTACCTAGAAATGATTTAAGAAATAAAATCAAAATAATTAGTGGAACTAGAATAGAACCCTAAACATGATTCATCTAGATACCTAAAAATAGGTAGATAAACTCAAAGTAATTTGAGTTCCTCATCTGAGAACTTGATCATGTCTTTCAAAGGAATCTTCTAGGGTACTTGGAGAATGGGTGTACCTCTAGTTGATGGACTAAATTGTACTCTGATTGGTACCAGTTAACTCTATGATAATGACATAGAAGTCATATTTGAGAAAGATAAACATATTGTCTTAAATGATAATAATGGTGAAGTAATTTTTACTAGAGATAAAAGAGAAATCTGTATACTCGATCTTAAAAACTCTATGATAAGTCCAACTAATGTATGTCTTGTGACTAAGGCAGATGAAAAAGAAATGAATCTTTGGTATAGAAGCCTCATACATGTGAACATTAAAAAAATTAACAAACTATATAAGTTGAACTTTGTTAGAGGTCTACCAAACATTATAAACAGAAAAAGCTACGCATGTGAGAGTTGTATCAAAAGAAAACAAACTATGAAACACTTCAAATAAAAAGAAAAAATTTCTACCATAAAACTTACCAATCTAGATTTACTTGGTCTGAATCAGATTTACTAGTTTGGTAGGAAAATTTTATTGTTTTGTAATTGTTGATGACTTTTCTCGAAATTTATTTGGGTGTATCTCTTATCTCGTATAATTGAAATTGTTGATCTGTTTATGAAGTTTGCCAAGAAATATAAATTGAACTAGAGACACAAGTTAGGAAAATCAGAAGGGAACATGGGGTAGAATTTGAAAATAATATATTTTCAAAATTTTGTGAGGAACTAAGAATTAAAAATGGATTTTCAGCAACTTGAACTCCTTAAAAAATGGATTAATAAAAAGGAAAAAAAGAACACTAATCGACATATCTAAGATAATGTTGGCCGAAAATTACCTTTCCACATATTTATGGGTTGAAGGTTAATCCACAGTTTGTTATACCATAAAAAAATTGATTATCATATCAAGATTAAGAAAAGCTCCATATGAAGTTCTGAAAAATAGAAAACCAAAATGTAACTAATTAGACCATTTGGATGTAAATGTTTCCTTCTCAATAATTGGCAAAAGAGCTAGAAAATTTTGATCAAAGTAGTGAGAAAGGTATTTTTCTAGGATATTCTAAAAGATCTAAAGCTTACAAAGTATACAAAAAAGGAACTCTAGTGGTTGAAGAATTAATCTATATTAAATTTTTAGAACAATCATGTGTTTAAAAAATTGTACTATGCGATGATGAATGTGTTCACATTGACAATACAATAGTGGGGATCTAGAAAAGAATGAAGAAGAATTACATCACCTACAACTAAATTATGATCTCAAGGACTTATCTAAGACATGGAGGGATACTAAGAGTTATCCCATTGATAATGTTATCAGATAATAAATAAATAACAAACTTAGAACTAGATCAAAATTAAAGGAACATACTCATAAAGTATTTATTTCCTAGGTTGAACCATGAAAGATTGATGATGTTATCATGGACTATAACTAGATGAGTTTCATGCATGAAAAATTAGATGATTTCCAAATAAATATAGTATGTAATTGAGTTCCTAGACCTAAACATCAAAATCTGATAAGAACAAAATGGGTTTTCAGAAATAAATTGAATGAAGAAGAAATAGTGGTTCAAAATAAGGCTGCACTAGTTGCTCAAGAATTTATTTAAGAAAGAATAGATTACGATGAAACTTAAGCCCCTGTAGTAAGATTAGATTTAACTTGAATCTTATTATCTATCGCATGTGCGTTGATTTTAAATTATATCAAATGGATGTTAAGATTACTTTCTAAATAGAAGAAGTTTGTAGTGAACAACATTCTGGATTTGAAAGTTCAGACTTCTCTAATCATGTCTACAAATTAAAGAAAAGACTGTTTGACCTAGGAACACATCACCTGGTCGCGGATGCATCTCCCCACCTCTAGGTCGGAGAGGGCGCAGCAGGCCTTGAGGACAAAGGAGAAGGTGAAGTTGTCCAGCTTGAGGCCGCAGTCGAGCAGCTGCTGGAAGAGCTCGACAGCCCTCTCATGGGGACCGTCGCACGTGCAACCCCAGGTGAGGACATTCCAGAGGAAAATGTTCCTTTTGGGATTTCTGTCAAACAGGGTATGAATGGCAAGCCAGGCAATGGGAGACGGAATAAAGGTTCACCAATTTGGTCACCAAGATGGCGTCGCAGTCGAGGCCTGAGACAATGAGATGAGCGTGAAGTTGCTTGCTGGGTTCAATGGCCTTCCGGTTGACGACCGATTGCAGCAGACAGGAAATGTGAAGGTTGGACTGACTAAAGCAGGGGCTAGGCGGCCTTCCCGGAGGCTTCAGTGAGTAAGAACGACGGCCACTAGACAGGAGGTGACCGCAGGAGGCAGAGGAGATGATTGGTAGAATCGAGGCCATTTTCTGAAAGATGGAGGAACATCGCCGGCTCTTGGGAGCCGGAGGAATCAGCTGCCGGAGAAGTTACAGAGTTCAGGATGGAAATGGGTCTGTTTCGGGCACTGAGAGTCTATAAGTCAATGTGATTGAGAGGAACTTGGTGACTCCTCCGGCGAGATCTCAGACGACCGCCGCCAACAACATGAACATTTGCCACCAGCGAGGGAGAAAAGGGGACAGGCAAATGGGATGAGGGAGAGAAAGGGACACATTACGGCATAGAGAGTACAACCAAACTTTAAGGGTGAATGCATGCACTGCAAAGTCTTAACTCTATATTGAACCTTAAGCCAGATAGATATTTAAAGAGAGAGACAGAGAGACAGACAGACAGAGAGACAGACAGAGAGACACAGAGAGACACAGAGAGAGAGAGCAAAGAAAAGCAGCAGTCTCCATCTTTTTTCTTCAACTATAAGGAGTGACGTTGAACCTTTAAAGAGTGATGTTGGAGACGGAGAATAGCTTTCCGGTGTTAGAAGTTCGATATTATATTAATATTAGCCATATTAAGTGTTATGAGGGGATACAAAAATGAAATAATTATACATGTTGCTTAATAAACCTATAACAGGCGATATGGCTATTACATCCCATCTTGAAGATGTTAGTGTTTGTTTTGTGACAATAGACCCGATCATATAGGCACAGTCGATGTGCCGGGTTCAGTGACCAACCCATCTTTAGAAGTACAATGCTAAGCTTTTGAAGCTTTCATTAAGTGAGAAAGATCAATGACTCATATCCGAAGGTGTTCAGAATGTAAAGTTCAAGACAAAAGTTTGTTGTGAGTAATAGAGAAAGAGAATCGTAATTCGATTAATCAGAAAACCATGCCAATGAGGATCCTCATTCATTTATTCATGGAACAACATGACAAGGCAAGTTTCGGAGGAGTCCGTTATTCACTTGCAAGCGAGAGGTGCTCCCCCTCCTCTACGCCTTGGAACGAATAACGACTTCCTCCACGGCAGCATTCATAAAGACAACAGCTTTAGGCAGTGAATCAACGACTGAGCATCCCATGCGGCAGGATGCGCGGTCCACATCGACACTGCACGGGCAAGAGCTGATCTCGTAGGCCCACTTGGGGTCATCAGATTTTTGTATGGCGAACCTACTATCGTGAGGACCAATGCTCTGGGATACGGATCCGCCCGTCGTCAGGGTTCCCACCTTGGCTCTCCACACCGTGGACTCCGTGCACTGGGTAGGCGCCGCAAACATGGCGTAGAACGTTCCCCCCTCGAGCACGGCGGACCTGTCCGGGTTCTCCGGGAAGAACATGACGGGAAGCCCACTGGCGACCTCCGATTCCTCCCGTGCGACATACAGTGGGCACGTCTCGTTGAGGGACACCAGATTCAGGCCGCCGCCGAGGGGACCGGAGAACGCCGGCAGTACGTAGTACTGATGCCCCCGTTTGATCTCATTTCCTCTACTGTCAAGGACAGGATCGGGGTAGATCGCGGCATGGGAGGTGGCCAGGAGGAACGACAGAAGGAGAAGGACAAAGTCCATGGCATGTAAGATCGGATGAAGCTCGCTAATAGGAAACTAGCCACAGCAGCACTTGGGTCTGGGTACGGAGAGGTATTTATATATGTTTGGGGGAGCTTCTCTCGAGGCATCACAGAAACACAGAAGACATGATAAACTATAATGTGGAAGATGACAGGAAACGGCGTCATGGTCGCAGCCCCTCTTGATGACAGATCGTCTCCCACGTGGGCCGCCTTGGAGAATCAAGCCAACCACTGATGGCTTATCCTCTGCAGGTAAGCGGACAAAGGGACGCACGTGGTCAGACTAAGGGCATTGAATACCCGTTAGACGCTAGTCGGTTGACGCGTTCACAAATGGCATGCGTTGAGAACTGCCAATTTTACGCATATGTCATCCTTTTTGCGATAACCTGATTTAGTTCGATACACATGTATGCACAGAGATAAGAGAGAAAGCCCAACACGACGTAATACTCTGGATATATAAATAGTGACACAGACAGACAGACAGACAGACAGCGAGAGAGAGAGAGAGAGAGAGAGAGAGAGAGGGTGGGCGGGACGGAGGGAAAGAGAGAAGAGAGAGAGAACACGCCGTCTGCTATGCCCGCGTGAGATTCCCAGCTGCTGGTGTCCATGGGGCCAGATGGGAGGAAGAGTAAGCGACGGAGAATAAGACAGGAACGTCATCTTCTTTACATGACGTGGCGAGGGAACCGTTAGAAAGGTTGGATATGAGGCTAATGAGGGTCAACGTGGCAGGTTGAGCCAGAAGGAAACGTACCAATTGACAGATTTGAGTTATTTGATTCGCGTTAAAACAGCCTGAGTAGCATTCGATTGCAAATGAGGGTCTACCATACTCATAATTAAAATTAATCTTGACTTAGATGACCCAAAAATGATTAAATGAAGTGACATATCATAAAAAACCTGTTACACTCGCTGTTCATGTTGCTAAAACAGGTTATGTAAAGTCAACACCGTCATAGTTGACTTAGAAATCAATATTGAGCAACTCGGGGACAACATCAGAGGTGGTTGTTGCTTAGAAGGTAAAGAAGAACACTGACAGAAGAAAAAGAAGAATGGCTGACTCCCTCGTGGGCAGCACGTCTCTAGCCATTAATATAGGTGCAGTGTATGGAGATGATCTTGGAGACGTGCCACAGTTTCTTTTTCATAAATTTTTCTCGTGGGGTATAAAACAAAACTAGCCTCCATAATAGACTACATATTTAGTGATCCTTCTTGAGACCATATTAAGTGACATAATATTAAGTAAAATCTCTCTCTCCCTCTCTGATGGGATCAACAGCCCAAACATTCATAGATGTGATGGGTCTCAATTGAGATCTAAGATGGATGTAGATCTTATTCAGCCCAATTTGGACCAAGGAAAGGTTGATCCAAAAAGAGAATTGGGCCTAGGCCAGACTTACTTTCAAAAGAAATCATTGACCAAAGAAAAAGGAATATTCACCCCTTCTTTTTCTTTCTCAAGCAACTTTCTAAGGCACTTGTTGGGAAGGCATCAATAAGTACCAAAATAACCTTTAGGAGAACGAGTCATATGATTGAAGTAGAGCATCTAATTCTTAATTAAGGATCAAATTACAGCAAGGATCAGAGGATTTCACGAGGCATCTATTGCGAGCAATAAAGATGCCAAGACATTCAACTAGGAGGTCTCAACCACTTAGATTCTGTCTAACTTCTCCACTCTCTCATAACTACCTTTAAATTATATTTATAAAAAAGATATTTCATGTGTTATTTGAAGGAAGTAATGAAGTTGATGTTGGAGAGTTTCTCTTCAAATTTTGTCTTTTTCTTTGAGGGAAATTGTGAGTGTCAATCATTCCTTAGGGAGCGGCCATGAGGGTTAATGTTGTATCCTTAGGGAGGTCAAGAGGGTCAGCCACCATTTTCATTTCACCCATCTATTTTCTCACCTTTTCATTCTATCTTTCATCACGTTTTGGAGTCATTGAGGATCAATCTTGAAGTTCACAAACCAACAATCATGAGATTACATTTATCCACGTTCGATAGTAGTATCGGACTCTTGGCCTATTAGCTATCTCTCTCTCTCATCTCTCATCCCTCCTATATAAGAGTCATGTATTCTATCTTTTGAGACTACATGGATTCTAGGGTGTTCCTCTCTTGTGTTAACATGGTACTAGAGCCCTAGGTATCCGGTGCGCTACTCTCCTCTTCACTGGCCTCTTCCGTCCTCATACGGTTCTTTAGCATCGCTGCTCTTCCCTCTTTCGACATCGTCGTCTTTGTCGTCGCTCTCCTTCTCCTTCCGGCATCGTCATCTCTGTCATCACTCTCTTTCTCCTTTCAGCGCCGCCCTTCTCACTGTCGTCGCCCATTACTGGTGCCATTACTCTCCTCCTCTCCAACATCTCCACCATGGCCATCGCCATCGAGGCCCCTCCTCGCCGCTGCACCCTCACTGTCACATTGTTACAGGTGCCGTCGTTCTCAGGTGCTAAGGGCATACCCGCTGCCGTTGAGGTCCCTCCTTGCCGTCATGCCCTTGCTGTCACGCCCTTCCCTTTGCTCCCTTGCCGTCACACCCCAGCCCTCACTGTTGCTGTCGCAGGCGCCGTCACCATCTGGTCACGGCAACTAGAGTTTTGCCTATCTCCTAGCGAGCCAGCCAATGTTTTCTTCTAGACCAGCCCACTTAGGACTAGCCCCACCGGACCCGCCAATCCTGCGTGGATCCACTGGCCTCGCACGGATCTGCAGGCCCAGCACGGCCCAGCCAGCCCCAGCTGGCCCCAGCCAACTCTGCTTGCCCTCTGGTTTTGCCTGCCCCTCCAGATCAGCCCGCCAGGCCCCAACCTGCTCAGCCCACCACTTGTCCCTCTAGCCTGGACCCCCTAGCCTCATGGCATCATCTCACCCCCCTCCGTCACCTACCTTTGAGCCCTTTGAGCCTTTTCCAATCCCCCTCTGACTCGTCACTCCATCATGATGCAACTTACTCGACTGGCATACATCTTCAACAACCATAATTATGCATCATGGGCATTTGGCTCCAAGCTCTTCCTTAGATCTCACAATCTCCTCCATCACCTCTTAGATGACTTACTTAGCCTTTGGGACCCCTCGTATGTGACAAGATCGTAGCTTGACTCGGCCACCATCATGTGGATGCTTCAGAGCATCGAGCCCAACATTGCCAAGCCGCTAGCACGCATCACCGTGGCCCGTCTCCTATGGCTTGCTATAAAGACCATGTACATCAACCGAACGAACATTGATTAAGTTGTGGAGATCTTCGAGTCTTTTCTCTCCTACAAACAAGGTGATCTCTCTCTTCATGCCCACTACGGTCACCTCTACGCCCTCATCTAGGAGGTTGATATCTATCAGCCCCCTATTATCGACCTCCTAACCCTCTAACACTATCATTAAGAGTTTTATGCTAGGGTTAATCTCAGTAAACTTCATCCATCTATCACATCCTAGATCTAAGGGGCTATTCTCTCTAGGGATCGCATGCCTGATCTTGCCTCCATCTTCTCAACAATCCTTCGGGTCACCACTAGTATGCTTGTCCACTTCTCTTCTTCCTCCCCAAGCACCACCTCTACTCCTAACTCTTGATGTTGCTACTCTACAGGCTCGAGATGATACCCCTCTTTCCTGCCCTAATAGTGGTTGTATTCTTCGCAGACGTGGACGCAACACCTTTCCTCCATGTCTCTATTGTGAGAAGTAGAATCATTCAACTACTAAGTGTTGGAAGTAGTTCAATAAGCCTGCTTTTGCACAGTCGGCGATAACTTTTCAGACTCTAGCATTCCTCACTCCTTCCCATGTTCCAACTCTTACCTTCCATGTGACCTTAATGCTTGCAGAATATGACACCCTTTGCCGCTCCAATGGTACCAACACTTCCACTTCTGTCAAGCTCGTTTTGTTTTTGGCCTTCTCTACACTAGGTACACATGCTCTCTTTACTTTTTCTTTGGCGCTGTGAATTATTAATTTAGGGGCCTCCACTCATATGACCGATATTCCTACTATTCTCTCCTTCTATCAGCCTACTCTAACCTATTCCCTTGTCACCATTGCCAATGGCCGAACCTGTCTGGTCAAAGGTCATGGTGCCACCTCGGCTTCTCCCTCCCTTCACCTTACCCAAGTTTTCTACATTCTCAATTTTCCTACTAACTTTCTTTACGTCAATGTTATTACCCGTCCCTTTCTTTATATAGTCACATTCTTTTCCTTTCACTATATTTTCCAAAATCTACATACCGAACAAAAGATTAGTTTGGGCTGTGAAAACAGGTAGATAGTCTACGAACTCATTTATGACGAACCCTCATCTAGCCTTCCAACCTTTTTTAATGCCTCTATGGCTACTTCTTCTTTTTTATAATATCATTATTTAGGCCATCCTTGTTTCTCTAAATTACAAAAAACTTTACCATGGTTTTCTCTCTCTAAGTTTGTGTGTGAGTCTTGTCAACTAAACAAACATCACCATGCTTCTTATCTTAGTCATGATGACATCCTCTCTTCTACTCCCTTTGACTTTATCCATTGCGATGTATAGGGTCTATCTTGTACTTCTTTCATCACGAGCCATCATTATTACATTATTTTTCTGATGACTACATTTGTGTGAATTGGGTCTACCTCCTCTACGACCATTCTAAGGTCATCACTGTGGTTAGCCACTTCATCATTGAAGTTATCACCCAATACACAATTACGCCCTAGATTCTACATACTAATAATACTTTTGAATTTGTTTAAGCATCTCTTCACACCTTCTATGGTGATTGTGGCATCCTTCACAAGACCACATGTTCTCACACTTCGTAGTAGAATGGTGTTGCTAAGCGCAAACATTGTTAGCTTCTTGACATCATTCGCATACTTCTTCTTGAGATGAATGTCTCTCTCTCTCTCTAGGTTGATGTCTTTCTAACTATCAATTACCTCTAGAATCGACTTTCTTCTCCTCCTCTTAGGAGGGTCATTCCTCTTTGACATGACTTAGTCGTTGTATAGTAAATCACACAAATTTAAAATTTATAAAACTAGAAAAAAATGATTTTTTAAATATTTAGAAGTATTTCTAAATAAATATATCAATTATAATTCAATAAAACTTCTAAAAATAGCGATAATTTTCTAAGTCAATCACAAGGATGTAATATAATATCTGATAATTATTCAGAATTTTTCTCAAAGAATACTATTTTTTATGATTTTTATATTAGGAAATGAAAAAATATATATTTAAAATTCACAAAAAAGGGAAATAAGAGTGTGGATGTCAAGATGACATTAGCACCCAAGGAACACGAATTAGGCAAAAACAGAGTTCTACCTAACGATTCTTACATAAGTGATTACAAATGATTTAATTGATCAAATTAAGATCTGTAAAAGTCAAAAGAATTGTAATGGAATGAAGTATATCTTGATAAATTGAAATCACACAAATTATCAATAAATGAAGTGAAAAGTAAGTTGAAGGCAGGAAAATAAAGTTTTGGCACTGTGGCGGCGATGTGCTGGCGACGCACCAAAATCCTAATCATTCAGGAGGATCGTGGTGTAGTGTCCATGGCCTCGAAAGCTTTTCTTGGACAAAGATGATGTGGGTAATCTTTAAATCTCCTTGCAAAGTCTAGAGATCAATGAAATGGGTCATCAAATCGTTTTCAACGGCTGTCACCCAGCAGAACAAAAAAACAGCGACTTTGCAACTCTTTGGCAGCTATCACCCAACAGAGAGGAGCTGAATGGAGGTGGGGCACGTGTTAAGGAGCTTCATTCTCAAGTCTGCACAACAAGAGGAGGCTCTCAAGAATTGGCAACTTGTCTCCTCGCGAATCATCCTCTTCCTGACGACGGCTTATTCGTTTAATCCTTCACCGATGATTTGCAAGAAAGTCATGATAATTAGATAAAAAATATGAGTTTTGGCTCTAGGAGGATTCAAATCCACATCGTTTGTCTGCCCCTTTCTAGAGAAGGTGTGATGCCGATTTAGTCCCACATCGATTGTGCACCAAATTTTTTGATGAATATATAGTAATATTATATTTTCGATCAAGTCCCTTTCTTGTGCATGTACGACCACTCCTTACCTCACAGCCGGCTAGCCACCAATGACGTGGAAGGGGAGTTGCACACACGTGCCCCATCAGTCCAAGCTGCTCGAGCCCCTACTTGCGGCTACTCCCCAACTGCACTTCCGACTTGCTTCCGGCTGGCTAACAAGTCCCCCCCATTTTGTCTTATTTTTATTTTAATTTCTTTTTCTTCATTTATCTCAAAAGTAAGACTTTAAAAATTATATAAATTTATATAAAATCATATAATTATTCAAAAATTTATGTTAACAAACTAAAAACTACTTTTCACATTTTTAACATAAATATAAGTTTATTTATCATGAGTTAAGGCTAAAACTATATTATTTACTAATTATTAACTCATGATAATGAAGACTTATCACTCTCCATCACTTAATCCCTAATTCTCTTAATTTTTCTCTTTCCCTCGAGTCTTTAGATGCACTGCCTTCATCTAGGATTTCTCTCATTCTCTTTCTAAACTCACCTCTCATGCTCTTAAAGGAGTCTTTCTCAACTGCTCTTGCACATAAAAAGGCTATGGGGTCTCCTTTCATGAGGAGTCTCCTCAACCAACGTCACTTTTCATGAGTCTCCTTTCTTCTTTCCTATTTTGACTCCTCTTCCTCAGGCCACTACATCTACTTCACTTGGGTTCCCTCCCATGGTGGTTCTTGTAGACCCTCCCTCTTCTCTTCCTTCCTATCCACTCTCTTTGGAGTCATTACCCACACTTGTCTCTCTTTGGCCCGTGTCTCCCATGACTCCTACTCCGAATATAGTATCATCTTCTTCCTCTCTTACAATCACCTCTACGCCTTCAGTCGCTGCTCTACCTGATGACCTTCATCTCCTTATTGTCCTTTGCAAAGGTACACATACTTGCACCCACTATCCCATCTCTCAATTTGTCTCCTATGACTATCTTTCTCCCTCTTTTTGTGCCTTGGCCTTCTCTATAGCATCCGAGTCACTTCCATAGTCATATGTTGAGGTTGCACATATACCTACATGAAAAGTGGTCATAGATTTAAAAGTAACTACATTGGTCGCTCAAGGGACTTAGGATTTAGTTCTACACTCGACCAATGCCAATATTGTGATGTGCAAGTAGATGTTTACCATCAAGTATCACTCAAATGGCTCCATTGCTCGTCACAAAGCTTGTCTAATTACTCGAGACTTCACATAGCCATATGAGATTGATTACATTGAAATGTTCTCTCTTGTCATCTATCTCAACTCTGTCCACATGCTCCTCTCTTTTGCTATCAATCAGGCATGATGTCTCTACCAGTTAGATGTTTCTAATGTCTTTCTCTATGGTGATCTCATAGAGTAGATTTTTATGAAGTAAAATCCTAGATATGTTACTCAAGGAGAGTCATCGAAGGTGTGTCTCTTGCAACGTACTATTTATGGGCTCAAGTAGAGTCCACGTGGTTGATTTGCCAAGTTTAGTAATTTATTTACCACTTTCGACTTCACCTCCTGCATTGTGGACCTCACCAACCTCACAAAGAAAATAGAGGGTGGCCTTTCCATTCTAGCAGTCTATGTCGATGATATTCTTGTGACTAAAAGTGATGAGACTGGCATCTCTGCCACCAAAACTTACTTATAACACCTCAACATTCATGACTTGGAGACTCCATGGTATTTCTTTGGGATTGAGTTTGCATATCAAGACGGAAAGCTCACTCTCACTCAACAGAAGTATGTCCTTGACATGTTTCAAAAGATAGGTCTCCTTGGGTGCAAGTCGAAGACTTCACCTATAGAAGCTCGCCTATAGTTTTGAGACACTTCATCTCCCTTACTCAAGAATGCTAATCGATATCAGTGATTGTTGGACAAGTTGATATATCTGACTATCACTCGTCCTAACATCATGTACATGGTTAGTGCCTTGAGCCAATTCATGTAGGAGCCTCGACAAGTTCATTAAGAGGGAACTCTACGAGTACTCACCTACATCAAGCAATCCCTAGGGAAAGGGTTGATCTATCAGCGACACAACCATCTGTGAATTGCAGCCTACTCTAACGCTAGGTATGCAAGTGACAAAGGCGATTGAAAGTCTATTACAAGTTATTACACATATGTCAGCAATAACCTAATCAATTGAAGGTCTCAAAAATAGAGGGTGGTGTCCTACTTCAATATAGAATCCGAATATTGAACTAGGACTGAAATAACATAGGAAAATAGTATGACTTTGATCATTTCTCGACAATCTTGACATTGCTTCTCCCTCTCTAATGCCCATGTATTGCAACAATCAAGTTATCACTTTTATTGCTGGCAATCTCACCTTTCATGAGCGTACGAAGTATATTGAGATCAACTATCACTACATTCGAGATAAAGTTATGTTTGGACTTATCTCAACTTCTCATGTGGTATTATTTCATCAGCTTGTAGACATCTTCACAAAGAGTTTAACCGACATCTCTTATGACACCACATGTACCAAGTTAGACATGTTTGACTTATATGCTCCAACTTGAGGAAGAGTGTTCGATAGTGGTATCAGACTCTCGACTCATTAGGACCCATTATCTATGTCTCTCTCTCATCTCTCATCTCTCATCTCTCATCTCTCATCTCTCCTATATAAGAGTCATACATTCTATCTTTTGAGACTACATTGATTCCATGGTTTTTCTCTCTCATGTCAATAATTCATATCAAGGTACCATTGACTTGTTTAATTTCAATGATTTATGATCTGATTTCAAATCTCTATTGCAAATTGACATTGAGTGACCTAAGATAGCCATAATTTGTCTATTTTGTGATCCATAAATTGATCTGATATTTTAAAAATAAGGTCAAATATTAATTGTTAGATGAATAAGATCCTCTCTTTCAAAGTTAAAAGATTTCAATGAATCACCATTTCCTTTAAATTTTGCTTAAATATTTGAGAATTCACTAAGTTGTCTTGATCCGATTGTTTAAATCCTTAATTGAAATTTTCTCGATAATGTCCTACATCACTCACCTTATTGAGATGAAATCACACATGTTGAACATTTTAATTGCTAGGTTCCCCCAACTTTTCTATCACTAGTTTTTCATGTGTATTAAGGATTAAAAACAATAAGCATTGAAAAAAGTTGTAACTATTGGACATCTAGGAACTTGCTGCTAGATACTAGAAAGTGATTGGATCACTTTCTTAATAATTTCTTATGCTCTAATGCTGATAGATTATTTGATTCGTGATGGATCCTACTTTCTAAGTTCGAAGTTGAAGATCCTACCTGAACATGATGATGACTACATTATATTTTCCTATTCTAGATTTACCATTAGTAAGGACATTGAGGGCAACAGGAAAACTATGAGTTGATAGTGATCTTTAACAGTAGCTTAGCCTTTTGATGATTGATAATCCTCAGATTACATTATTAAGATGTCAATTTTTATCTATGTGTATGCTCTATTTTTGTTAAAAAATACACATTGATATGATTTTTAGAAAAATGAAGCTTTATTTTTCTATATTCATTTATTGATATTTCTTTGAAAATAAAAAGTTAAATGTGACCATGAGTTATGATGGTTAAACTTAATATTTAGATTTTTGAGAGTGTTGAGATATTTTATAAATTTTCTATAATCTTTGAGATTTATTTCTGAATTTCTTGGAATTCTTAGGAGTTTTTGTGCGTTTATTATGATAAAAATCAAATTAAAAAAAATAAAGTAAAATAGAAAAGAGGGGACCTGACGGCCAGTCGATACTCAACAGTCAACCCCCCTAACCAAGAGGGGACCGCTCAAGCATGCTAACCTAGACCGTGAGGAACCACAAGCTGACAGCTCACATGGTACTCATGCAGGACGTGTTTCACTCCTCTTCCATGTCACTGGCGGGAGTTGATATGTGGGTCAGGGTATGATCTCGTTACACATGCCTGGGTGAATCACCTTATCTCTCCCCCTGAGTGGTTATGAGCATTCTGTTTCTGGGGGTAGGAATGTCAATATGTGTAGAGTGCTCTGAGATATACACCCATAAAAATCTCAGAAATAATTGATGTGGGACTAAAACTCTGTGAGCAAAAACGCAGAGGTCATTCCCGGCGTGGCGTCCAACTGGAGATTGGCGGCAGTGGTGGCTTCTTCCTCCTCTTATCCTCCCTCCTCATGTCTCCTTCTCCCTTGTAGGTAGATTCTGGACCTTCATTGTGCTCCGTCTCCTCGGTTACACAACCACAGAGAGAGAGAGAGAGAGAGAGAGAGGGAAACAGTGACCAGCACACAGCAATCCACAGACCTTGGATCTTCAGTTCATCCCATCCAAACCTCCCTGCAATGTTTCCTCTCTCTCTCTCTCTCTCTGCAATGTACAGAGGAAGGAACTGTGGGCTAACCGCAGCCGAAGCCTTCAGAAAAAGCCCTCCCTCTCTTCGGCAACGGCGGCTTCCGGCGATGTGTATCTCTTTAAGAACAAGCTTATATATACCATCTACCCCCCCTTCGTTTTTAGGTGTCGCCCACCTTCCTCACAGTGCCCCGGAGAGAATCCGCGAGCTGGGCCTTTTCAGCCCAAGAATGTGGGCCCGGATAAAACGGGCGAAGACCAGTAATAACAGTGTTTATTCCTATAATGTAGTGAGAAATAGATAGAGAGACAGGGGGAGACGTGGCGATGAGGGAGGTGGGATTAGTTTACCCCAAATTAGAGGTCGTCCTTGACTGGCTCAGCCGGTGCGAACTCGACGGCGGAGTGGACAGGTGCCGGGTAGCGGTGCTTTTGCATGAAGGCTATGATATCTTCCTTGTTACGGCCGGAGTCGTACTCGACCATCTTCCCCCTCGCCGACCGGAAGTACATGGTCGGGTACTCCGTGGAAGTCGTCCTTGGCCCCACAATGCCATGTCAGCCAGATTTTTGGGATAGGAGCGGCAGCTGCCACGTGCAGGGCAGAGAAGGAGCCACTTGGTTTGGTCAAAGTTAGTGGTCTCTAGGCATGAGGGGCCATTAAGAATGGAAGTCAAAGGGACACCCTAAGTCAGCCAGAATTTTCGAAATGTGGGATGATAGAGGGAGAGTGCGCACAGGGGGGCCGTGCAACGTGGAGGATAGAGAGGACGGCCTCCTGGCTCTGGTCAGGGCTAAGTGGGCTTTGGGCATCCCGGCCCATTAATAACGGAAGTCGACGGGTCACTGAAGACAGCTTGGCGATGACCACATTCGTCAGATTTTCGAAACTTGGGATGGAGAGGGAATGCCCACAGAGTCTCTGCCACGTGGAAGATAGAGAAACGGCAGATAGACAGATAGAGAGAGAGAGAGGGTTTACCAGTTTAGCGATTACCACGTCGGGTCGTCTTGGAGAGCGACGACCGCCGCCTCCAGGAAGTGGGCAAGGCTCTGGCAGTGGCCACACCACGGCACATCAAACGCGTGCAGACCATGCGGAGGAGGAGGTCGATTTTAATTACCGAATAAAAATAAAAATAGGGATTTATATGATTAAAACTAGCGATGAAGATCTGAGACTCCCATAAGTAGCAAATTCGTGAAAGAAAATGACATGGGTATATCAGATTTAAATCCCCTCCCGCCGGAGGGAAAAAAAGAAGATCCCTCAAACCCCAAAGAAGATTTGAGGGGTTGAAAAAAGTCAAACCCCTCAAGCTCCAAGGAAATCAAACCCCTCACAAGTCATGTGAACAAGGGTCAAGAAATGTTGACAGAATTATAGGCACTTTTCCTCTCTCTCCTCTCTCTCTCTCTCTCTGTGTTTCTATGTCGCACGCTCCCTCGTTCGCACTCCCTCTCTGTTGCTTTCTGTCCCTCTCGCTCAATCAGGCGTTCGTGTATTTACTGTCGTTTCTCTCCTGTTTCTAGAATCACTCTGAAGCATTCATGTAAATATTGGAACTCTGCACTTATTTTGAAGTACAATACAACACAAGTATTATTGATATCTTTCCATGGAAACACAAGATAGAGCCAGCGATCAGATTATGACCCGGATAGACAGGGGAGCATAGATGCGCGGTAGTGGCCTAGAATTACGAACAACACAACATGCAGATACGAGTACGGTACATCCACGGAGACGTGCTTCGAGAGTTGACCATGAGCGAGGGGTCGTTGGCAGTGAAGCGTGGATTGCTGGAGTCGAGTGATGCCGAGTAATAGCTGGTGGTGGTGGCGGAGGAGATGATAGGAGGAGGTGGCCCGAAAGCTTACCTAAGAGATTTGCTGAGCCAGGGGTTAGAGATTGTGGAGCATGGATCGTGGGATCGTTTGGAGTAACATTAACCAAGTAGGTTGATAGCAGGAGGACTTGGTGACGTCTGAGGCGGCGGAGAGAAATTGAAGTTTTGAGGCGGCGGAGCCGGCTGTGGTGGGGAAGGCGCCGGACAAGGCGATTTAGGGCCCTTGGGTCGAGGTGCCGGAGACGGCGGTAGTCGGGGAGGGGATTTAGGGGCCTTGGCTCGAGATGGTCGAGGGGATTCTTCATCTTCACCTCCAGAGAGACGGCGAAAACCATCCACGGAAGAAGTTCCCGCCACGAAAATGACGATGATAACTAGAAGAAGGGGAAGATGGCGAGAACTGCTTGAGGAACCCATAGTCACCAACCTCAATGGCCGCCTTGCCCATAATCACCCTCACACCATTTTATAGTGTCATCAATTAGACACTGGAACTCTCGCGTTCTGTCTTTCTCTCCTTTACCTCTCGCCTTGAAGTGAAACAAAAGCGGTTGGCGAGCGAAACCGGAGCTGAAGTCTACCGAATTTATTTGCTTTTATCTAAAGTACAGCATCTATTGAATGCAATATCTCCAATCGGACGTTGACGCCATAATATTTAAACTTTTCCTCACTTGCGAATTTAAATTTGCACATTTCATGTCGAATTATCTATCTTGACTAGGCAGGAACCTAGAAGAAAAGAAGTCCGACGTGAGAAGTTTTCTCCTTTGAAGAAAAAAACAATAAGAGGGTGTCCACAGAGGGATGCATCTTCGGTTTTCGATGAACTAGTACGATCACTGCACTTGCCAAGCAGCGGTAGTCTGATGAACGGAGCCAATCCACGAGAACATTGGATAGTGTTTCACCAATACAAGAGTCAAAGTTACTCACGATGGAGAAAAGACGAGGATAACAAGCCACAGCTTTAAATGTCTTTAGGCATGATTCTCGGGATTTCCGCAGGTCTACAATTCAATGCCTCTGACTAATGGAGCATTTAACACAGGTTAGATAGCATTGAGTTTGGGTACTAGTCCTGCCTTGAAGAGAACCCTAATTGCAGTCTTTATTCGGTAGTCGGGCACGACTGCTCAAGTAGTCGGGGCACGAAATACGGATGCACCTTGGTGAACACGGTTTAAAGCAGCATGGTCGTGGGCGGTTTGAACTTTTCATAAATAAGATCAAACAAAAGTGGAGTTATTTTACTTCTAATTTCTTATCCGAGTAGGGGTGTGACAAGCTGTCCAAGCACGTCATAAATTTTTGAAAGTCAACT